TTTTAGCCAGATTGAAGGCTTTGGGTCCGTCACTCTGCTTAATTTAGTGTTGAAATGGTTAAATAACGGGATCCGTTAACTCCGTTAACTGTTAACAGCAGCTCAACAATCAGTCCTTCATCTCGGAAAAACTGTGGTTTCAAAAATGCTCTATTACCTGTAGCCACCGGGTCAGTTTGCTTTGCAGAGGAGGAGACCTCGACTGATAAAATGCCCATAAAATCACATTAACAACATACTGAAGGCATCCTTAAACTTCACTATTTCACCTCCGCGCTCCTCTCTGCTGGTCTCACCGACACTTCAGCACCCGTTCTGGGATACACAGTGTTGGCCCGCCCCGCCTGACCTCCGTGCTCCTCTCCGCTCCTCTCCCAGACACTTGAGCGCACGTCCAGGGCCCCGGAGGTCAGGCCGGGGGGCCCCGGGACCACGGGTGGCAGCTCCGGGCACTTCCACTTTAACCCAAAACGAGTGCTCATGATAATCAGATGAGCAGATAACGTCAACTAGGGAAAATAAAATGAAAACACCACAGTTGTAGTCTGTTAGCATAACATGAGCTAAACCGCTAAACTCGCTAACAGCTAACGAAAGATAACGTTAGTTGGTGGGGACATGTGCTAAGCTATATACACCCAGTCGTGCCTCGCCACTCACCAGGAACCTCTTTTAACGGTCACAGAAGAAACAACAAAGCTATTTTCTGCCAGTTTATTCCAGTTAGCTTACCTGAAACCAACTGCGATGAGATGCTGTGTGCTGCGAGCTCATTTCCGAACAAACATCGCGGAGATGAAATCCCGCCTCTGTGGCGACTTCCATATGTGGGCAGACATTCTACGGCACTGGGCCGACCCAAAGCCGACATAACAGAGACGTTTGTTGAGCTGGGACAAAAGAGTAAATTTAAAGATATCCGCCCATGCGGCCGACGCTTGTCAGACGTTATAAATTCAGGGCCAATGTGTCGTCCTCAGGCCGACGTCGGCCAGATGTATGTGTGCTATCTGGGTAGGCTACGTGTTTTTACATCTCTGTCAGGACCTGCAGGTGTACGAGTAATCAAATATTTCACCTGTGGTATCAGCAGCCTTTTACTTCGAATTACAAATGTTTTGGTTTTTTTTTTTAAATCTCTATGAGAGATTGCTTTCAACACACAGACAAACATTTATTTAAGGGACTGTTCATTACAGATGGAAGCGGTTTTCATTTCTTTTCATTTTAGTGCAGATTTTTAAATGAAACATGGAAACAAATCACCAAAATAACACCATGAGACAGAAGCTGTAGAAACATTTCTGACAGACACATCACGTGAGACGAACATTTCTGGCATGAAAAAACAAAACAAAACAAAACAAAACAAAACAAAACACAAACAAGAAATCTGATGTTAAAACAGTGAACCGGCGCTCAGGACTTTACTTTGAAATTCCACACCGGAAGCCGGATGTGTGTGTGTGTGTGTGTGTGTGTGTGTGTGTGTGTGTGTGTATTGTCGGCAGCGTGACGTCAGAGCCGACAGGGGTAACAATAGCAGGCTGTATGTGTGTGTGCGTGTGTGAACGGATCAATCAGCCGATCACAGATCGATCAGGATGTCGTTCCAGACCAAGAAGAACAGCGCGAGAACCGCGGTAGGTCCAACCCGAGCCGGGCCGGACCAGGCCAGACCGGGAGACAGGGGCGAGCAGCGGCAGCGGCGGTCCGGTGAGGCGGGATGCTGCAGCTCTGCCTGCCAGTTACCGCCGATACAACCACACCGGGCTGGGCCGGGCCGAGCCGAGCCGGCCTGCTCAGCCAGTCCGGCTCGGCCCGGTTCAGTCAGCCTGCAGCTGCTGCAGAGCCGCTCCGCTCGGCCCGGTTCGGTTTTACATCTATTAATTAGTGATCAGAAAAATCAAAAAATTGGTTGAACCAGTGAAAATGTGATTTTCGTTCAGGAAGACTAGAACATTTCAGCTTTGTCTTGTTTTGTCATTTGACTTCATGGAAATAATAATAATATTTAAAATCTCTCCACAACACCACCTGTCAATCATCACTCACCTGTGTGACATCATCACCCTGTATCAGTGAAATATAAATTATAAATGATGTTTCATTAGATAAATAATAATCAATAATCTGTAAATGAAGGTTTGGAGCCGTGAAACGTGTCAGTCAGTGTTTGTTTTTATTTACACTGAATGTTGCCTTATGACGAAGATGGCAGCATTTCAGAAACACAGTCGACTTCTAAAAATCACGTCAATCAGGTTCTTTCAAAATGAAAGATCCAGTCAGGCTGTAACCACGACGACTTCGTCTTTGACTTCCTGTTTCTGAAATGTTCAAACAACCCAGCATCCTTTGTGTCTGTTTCCAGGGCAACCGTCTGATCATCAAAGGAGGAAAGATCGTTAATGACGACCAGTCATTCTATGCTGATGTCTACGTGGAGGATGGAACCATCAAGTAAATACGATCATGATATTGACGATGATTTATGATTGTGTGAAGCAGCTTTATTCAGGCTGTAGACCCCACCCACTGTCTGTGACACCATCAGACTTCCTGTTTTGTTTCCTGATCAGACAGATTGGTGAGAATCTGATCGTCCCGTCTGGCGTGAAGACGGTGGACGCATACGGTCAGCTGGTGATCCCCGGAGGAGTTGACGCCAACACCAACCTGCTCGCTCCGCAGAAAGGCCTGAACCCGGCTGACGACTTCTACCACGGAACCCGTGCCGCTGTGTCCGGAGGAACAACCACCATCAGTCAGATACCCAGTAATCAATACTGATCAGTCAGGCTGAGTCACGGCAGAGCAGTCCTAACACTGACACTTGTCTTCACAGTGGACCACGTGCTGGTGGAGCCGGGGATGAGTTTACTGACGGCGTTCTATCAGTGGAAGGAGACGGCAGAGCAGAGGGCGTGCTGCGACTACTCGCTTCACCTGGACGTCACACGCTGGCACGAAGGGCTGTACGAAGAGCTGGAGACGCTCGTCAAAGATCAAGGTCAGGGGAAGGGTGAAACTACATCCATGGAGGGTGGAAGTGTGAAGAGGTGGAGGTGTGGAGGGTTGGAGAGGTGGAGAGATGGAGGTGGTGAGAGGTGGAAGTGTGGAGGAGTGGAGGTGGTGAGGGGTGGAGGGATGGAGAGGTGGAGGTGTGGAGGAGTGGAGGTGGTGAAAGGTGGAGGTGTGGAGAGGTGGAGAGGTGGAAGTGTGGAGAGGTGGAGGTGGTGATGGGTGGAGGTGGTGGAGAGGTGGAGGTAGTGAGAGGTGAAGGTGTGGAGAGGTGGAGGGGTGGAGGTGTGGAGGTGGTGAGAGGTGGAAGTGTGGAGGTGTGGAGAGGTGGAGGGGTGGAGGAG